GCCAACAACTTGTTTTGCGTTTGACTCCAACCTTGGACCAACTTACACTTGCTCATTCAAAGACAGAAAATCAGAAAATGCATAATTACACTGTAACAGACCTTAACATGATTTCTACTTTGCATGAGGATTAAAATCATTATTACTGCTTCACAGTTGAATTAAAAATGATTAGTTCACTGCAACATCTAAAAATGGTTTGAACTAAAAACACTTTGATTATCAAACATTTGTAAAATAGTAATGATAATAGAAAAGAGAGTGTTCTTTCAATTGATCAGTGCAGGACACTTAAAAAGTCTTCTGGATGGACTTGATTTGTGTTTCTGGACTCAAATCAATGAAATACAGTTCTTGTTCCAGGAAGGCCCCTCAAGGCCAGATTTGACCTGAGGCCTAGTTCACTACAGTCCCCCCTTTGGAAATCATCACCTGTCCATGGGGATGAATTCCAACATGAACTTACGCCTTCGAATGTCCCTGGTCTTGATGTAATCCAGCAAGGAAAACAGAAGTCAAAGGTAATTAACGTCTCACGTTACGTTTTTAATAATTCAATGCACGACATTATTCAGTCCAGAAAAATGAAAGAATCCGTTTAATTTATGAATATATCATGCATATGTTCATCTACATCTAGTATGTAGATGAACATATGCTGTGATATATTCATAGATTAAACGGATTCTTTCATTTTTCTGGACTGTATAATGTCGTGCATTGAATAGTTAAAAATGTAACGTGAGACGTTAATTATCTTTGACCCATCAAAATGAACGTGGTAATTTATTTTCAGAATCAAAATTTAACATCACACATTTACATTAATTTGGCAAAAATTGAAAATAACAACATGGCTAATTTAGGCTAGTTTTACAAGGAGGAAACAATACGGCGATTGTTTCCCTTGCTTCCAGCTGTACAACAGACATTTCTAAAAATATCTGGAATGATTTGCTAGCAGGATAGAAGAATTTTAAAGATGGAAAATGAAGTTTATCTTGAGAGAGATGGGTGAGGGAATTTGTCTGTTATAACCAGAACAACACGCTCCTTTGGACCAGTTTAACCCAACGGTACACTTTGGTTGAGATCGACTCTTTACCTTTGCAGATGATAGTTTCAGCGTTGTTGTAGAGCTTTCCTTTCAACTCTTCCAGCGTCTCCGTAAGAACAGCTAAACCTCAGGAGTCGTGAGATCATCCAGAACAGACATTTCATAATTCCCCTGATCTTCTCTCGTTCAGCTTATTTTTCTTCCTCCAGCATCCTGAATTCCAGCCTTCTGAACTCTGGAACTGCTGGCAGCATTCTCTCAGCGTTCTTCTCAGCGTTCTCCTCAGCGTTCTCCTCAGAACTACTGAGAACTCCTCAGAGCTCCTCAGAACTCCTCAGAACTCTGAACTCCTCCTCTGAACTCGACTGGAGCTGGAACCTCTTGCAGAACTGCCGTGAACTAGGAAGTGGTGCACCTTTTAAAAAGGGTCACTTCCGGTTCATTTGAGGACTTTCTGATTGGTCGATGGACCAACAGAGGTGTGTTTTTGTGATGTAAGGTGTTATTAAAAAGTCAAGGAAAAAGATTAGATTGTTTAAGAACAGACAGAAGATATTATGAAGAACTCAGACTTCGTGGAGTCAATTCTCTAGTA